AGGTCTGCACAGCACCGCTTCAAGTCGAACACACCTTAAATGTGCAGTATGTAGTATTGACAGCTAGTGGTTGGAATGGGTATTGCAGTCCAAATTCAAAATATTGGAGAGAGTCGTTTCCTCCTCAGACTCGACGCTTACGCCGGATACCAGATTGACACATAACATGAACGAGCGCAGTTCACAATGTGTAAGTTAATCAGTTTGCAATGTTTCATTGCCGATGCTTTTTAGGTCAGGTAGAATCTGCAATCTCTGACCCAGTTACAGGCATGGCTAAAATATTGCCTACTGTGTTTCCCGCAAACTGGGCTTCTAAATATTTTTGGGAAGCAGTGGATCAAACAGACCTAAACAAAACCGCACATGGAAGGCACATTTCAAATTAGAATAACTAATTGTCTCATTGTTTTTCGGAATTTTATGAGTTTTGGTTTTACAAAAATTACGAGTTTACAAGTTCTTCAAGCACATGAAGGGTTTTTACAGTTCAGAATTGTTTGTTACTGTAATTATACTACGATTACCGTAGGCTACAATCCAATGTGGCAATTTTGTATGAATTCATACAATGTGAATCGTAAAAAAAACTATTATTAGATTAGCCTAAGCATTAGTCCACCCCAACCTAACCCCTACGTGTCACTGCGGTGTAAGCAGATCGTATGAAAAATGAGCCACAAATTTGCCAAAATGTAAATGAATTGCCATGAGAATCTCGGGACGCCACCAGCACAGCTATCTTAAAAATATATTACTCTTTTACCACCATTTACAGAATCAGTACAGCATCTCCGGATCAATGCATAGACCGTAAAATAACGCGATCATCAACATTAAACAGTAAATCAAAACTGCCTGGATGAGGTGACTGTGCAACCTTAGGGGTGTTGATGGAAATGTTTTGATCATCGTTCTGAATCCAATCTGGATGTAGGCTATAGTCTTTGACAAAAATGCTATTATTTTCAGAACTTGAGTAATGTTCTGGCAAGGTTCTCTCAACATTATGAAGTAATGTTAATAAAAATGTTCAATCAAAGTCATCTGCTCTCAATGCTCTCAAAACGTTAGCACAAAAACATTAAAGGGATACTCCACTTTTTTTGGAAATAGGCTCATTTTACAACTCCCCCAGAGTTAAACTGTTGAGTTTTACCGTTTTTGAGTCCATTCAGCCGATCTCCGGTTCTGGCGGTACCACTTTTAGCATAGCTTAGCATACATCATTGAAGTGGACAAGACCATTAGCATTTCTAAAAAAAAAATGACCAAAGAGTTTCGATATTTTTCCTATTTAAAACTTGACTCTTCTGTAGTTACATCGTGCACTAAGACCGACGGAAAATGTAAAGTTGCGATTTTCTAGGCTGATATGGCTAGGAACTATACTCTCATTCCTGCGTAATAATCAAGAAACTTTACTGCCGTACCATGAGAGCAGCAGGCGTAAAGATATGACGCTGCGCCTGAAAATAGTTCCGTTGTGTTGACGGAAGGTAGCCTATTTTCAGGCGCCTATTTTTGGAGACATTCATCTAACATATTTTTTAAATGTTTCGGCAGAATGTTCAAAGAACATTCAAACATCCCCCTTAATATTTACAAAAAAAAAATTAAATGAAATGTTTCCTTAACGTTTGCATATAACCAAGAAAAAAAACTGACGTTAAAAATTGGACGTTTTGAACGATCAGAGAGCGCACTTTGGCATTTGTTGTTTGAAAATGCTGTTAAAAGATACTTTTATTAATAACGAAAAAAGTCTACATTTGAAAACATCCTGTTTTGACTTTACAGACTAATCCTAAACTTGACAGCACTGTTGTTTTAGCAGTTGTCGACACATTTCAGCCAGGCTTCAAATGTGGATGTGACATAATAGGTGTCAAAAAACAGTAGCCTAGTGATTACGCCATGTTAATGACCTTTTCTTTATTGATACAATCCTGAGAGGTTTACAAAGCATTTAACCTCACCCAGTACAACTACACATGTACATATTTAATGAACGGTCCTCTGCCAAACATAAACAGGTGTCAAGTGCAACACACTCACCTGTGTTGATGTTCACAGGTACAGTTTACAGATAAAGGGACTCATATAACATTTTATGTCCTTGATCACCAATACTGACTTTTTAAATGCTCAAATTGTTCAAAATTTAAATAGTAGCCTATCATTTGATTCGTGATTACTACATCACAACGATCTTACATAAATAGCTCTTACTCAAAAAGGAGCTGATTATATCAGCTGATGATCACAGTTCATTATTTATTTATACAGATTTGTTTTTATTGACCTATTATATGCTTTAAATATAAAACATGAAAAGTTTAGCCTCTTTCTCCATGTGGGCCTCAAGTCAAGCACCCTTCCTGTATTAAACCAGCCCATAGCATATACTCAGAGGAAAATGGAACAGGATATTGGATAACAAGGTTAAAATACAGGAGCAAATATTCTCTTATTAAAGTCCAACAGCAGGGATTTGATCTGAGCTGCCTAATAGGCAGTGGTTTAAAGAGGGACCAGAGGGGAGGTAACAGAGGGGTCAGGGTTTTGCTGTCTAATGGTGGAGATTGGAGAAATTAAGGGACTTTATTTCCACAGGAAATTCTGATGAAAGGTGGATTATGGATCACAGTGGTCTTCCCAATCCAGTAATGTGCTTGGGCCTGCATTTATTAGAGCATACGTAAAGCTGACTGTGCTTTATTGTTACACAGGGAGCAAGGCAAGGACAAAGCAGGATCACAGAAGATAAGTCAGATCATGCTTTATTTGTCCTACAATGTTGTTGTTAAATGTGCCTGTCTGCACACTTTTAGAAGGATATAAATCTGAGCGCTCGATGAAATCTATAGCACTAATATCAATTGAGATACCTGGGCCCAATTTTCCAAATGATGAGGATATAAAGCAATACAAAAGAGCGATCCTATTAGAAATAATGAAAATAAATGTGTGATTTATTTAATTAATGTACTAAAATTTACTATCTATCTATCTATCTATCTATCTATCTATCTATCTATCTATCTATCTATCTATCTATCTATCTATCTAATTCTTTGTGGACATTTTTATACACATACTGTATTATATATATATATATATATATATATATATATATATATATATATTCTTTCTAAATATATTTGTATAATAAATAATTGTACAAACTAAAAATACAATCTAAAAAGGAATGCAAATATTATATAAACTGCTTGTTTGCATGTTTATTTATTTATACATGCTTACATTTTTGTACTTGTGCAAGTATACTTTTATACAAACTAATGATACTACCAGGGCCTGAAATTAACACCCGACCACCTGCCAAATGCGGGTGAATTTTGCTATTGGCGGGTAACACTGTCAATCTACCTGCCACATTGGCGGGTAGCCAATGAGAATTGAGTGATTCATTAGGGTTTTTTTTTACGTTTTCGTTTTCATTTTCATTGCGTTGGACCTTAGCTATAATGTGGCGGCACATTACTGGGGTAAAAAGGCCAGCTGAAACAAGCAACCAACAAAAAGATGAGGATGAGTCAAAGAAAAGTAAAAGAAGACATTTTAATACAAAGTGGTCAATTGGCGACAACGGCAAGGTTCGTGAGCGGCTGATTTATGACAGCGACTGTTGTTTCGTAACGTTCATACGATCAGAAAGAAGATGAGGCCCTTTTCTGACTACGTTTGGATGTGCCAGTATTGAACTGTTGGTGAGATGGGATGAGATAATGTAACGCTGACGTAGGCTCCAGAACAATGACAGTTGCACAGATGTGTGCATGTGCAACTGTAGTACATGTTGGGAGTTGGGAACCGGTGAGAAAATGTCCGGTACCCGGTAACTTTACCAGTAATAATATTAATTTAGTTCTGCTTAACGGTTCCTGAACGCTGTAACTAAAAGCTGTCAGGACCTAGCTGTCTACGTGACTAAATCAGCCATCAACACAGCCGCGGGTGATTTGTTTAACGTTACATACGAGCTGCGGTAGGTCTATAGATCTGTTGTGCGTGTGTGTGTCAAAATCAATGAATAAAAAGATTTTTTTTAAATGTATATTCTAAGAGTTATTATTACTTATATTGATTTCGTTAATAACTTGACAGCACTTAAATGTGTACAAGTTAAAGAACAATATTGTGAAATTCCCGTTTTTCACCTATGAAAATGAGGCAAAAAAAAAAAAAAAAAGGCTGGTAAAAAGTCTCTGTGGCAGGTGAATTTTGATATCCACCTGCCACAGTGGCTGGTGGCCAAAAAAGTTAACTTCAGGCCCTGGATACTACTGAGAAAGGAATGCAAACTATTGTACAAACCGTTTCTTTTTACATTAATGATACTATTGAAAATAGAATGCAAACTATATACTGTTACTTGTAGTTAGCAGGAATGGCATTATGCATCATGAATGATGTCACCACTGTCATCAACAACAACCATAGCATTTTAATCATCGATCGAACCATTTTCTGTCATAAATCTTGTAAATCAGTAGCAGTTTATCTGATTCTCCCAAGATGTCCAGCCATGTGTATGCTCTGCTGCCATCTGGTGGAGTCATCTGTGAGCTGGAGCTGAAAGTTAAAGATTTTCGTGAATTGTGTTCAGTGTTCCACCTAACTCATTCTGTTCACTTCTTGTCACTATATCGTAGGCCCTCCTCTGTAAGAAGGCTCTAACTGACCTTCTCATTCCTGCATTTCCCAGAATTCACTTGTACTTAGTTTCACATTAAGAGACACATTATAGAGAGCATACACAGACTTTATTACAAAGCCTGATTGTAATGAACCCACATGGGACAATGTCTCACTATCCACTTCTTTAAATACCACCTCTAAAATTGGCCTGGAGAGGAAGTGGTATGTGAGTGTCCTGTCACAGGTGGCAAGCAGCACTATAGTGACAGATGCGTCACAGCAACAAGTCAAGGTGAATGCCATTTATCTCTGGCAGGATCGTGCCTCTGTGACCCACCCATGTGATCTGCTTTCACTAGTAGTGAAGCATGAGCTCCTTAAAATCTCTCCTGCTGGAACATCTAGTTGCAAATTACCCTCTAAGGATTTGTGAAAGCAACATAAGGGCCGTCACTCAGTCTGACAACTCAGTCCAACACGGTGATATGAAAGCTCAGTGTCAGGTAAGGTTTGTTCTCTTTGACCTTTTTTATCCTAAAATGTCAACGTTTGCATGAATTCCCATGTATTTTGTTTTCCTTTTCTCAACAAGACATGCAAAAAAAATACCCAGGATCTTCTTATTAGGCAAAGGGAAGTGATCAGATGTAGACTGAAGAAACTGAACGGCAAGCAAAATGAAATCAAAGTGAGTAAAAAACTTTGAGATAAAAAGACTCTCATAAGAGACTCTCAAAAACAATTCATCAAATATTTTTGAGGAGTCGTATTAATTGCTAGTATTTGAATTTAGGAAAATGAAATACAAATGAACATTTTGTAGTTTTTGTGGATTACCCAGTTTTTATTGAGTAGTCTAAAACATTTGCTCATCTTTCTCAGTCCAAGTCCTCTGCAGTGAGAGAGAATATAGTGAAGAAGTATGAAGAGATGCGGAGAGTTCTGGAAGAGGACTGTAGGATCACTCTGTCCCTGCTGGAGATGGAGGAGACGGCTGCGGTTCAAGCACTAGACAACCTCATTGAGACTAACTGTCCTCCTCAAAGACATTGAGGTCCAGCTCAATGAAGGGATGGCGGACATACAGCCTGGTGACAGGGTGAGCCTTTTATAAGCAATCGGTTGGACAGATCCATTGTTGTGGACTCTTTTTGTTTTATTTTAACCTGCCATGGATAGTAGGGTGTGTCATCATACTCAGCTAAAAGGTTCTCAGAAATTTGGCTAATGTTCTGACAAGGTTCTTTATAAGTTCATAAGTTATGAACAAACAGTCTTCCAGTAATGTTAATAGAATATCTAATAATGTTCTTAAAATGTTAGGACAAAATAAGTATTTATCGTTCATGGAATGTTTTTTCTTTCTTCTTTTTTCTTTTCTTTTAGTTGGCCGTATGTCTAATATTTTTAAAATGTATCTACCTGTTGTAGAACGTTCACAGAAATGCTTTCGTAGAAAACTAACGTTCCCGTAATGTTTTCAAAATGATCAAATTAAATGTTCCCTGAAAGTTCATATAACCAAGAAAATAGTTTTTAAAACACTTAAGAGAATATTTCAGGGAACATTTAGAGATAACTTGGGGAATGTTATGGGAATGTTAGCAAAAACTTTCTTAGAAAATGTTTTGTTAGCTGGGTATTAAAAATATCATACTAAACAGCAAAATAATTCAAATGACCAATACATGGTGAAACCTACCATCCCTGCAACATAATACATTTTCACTGTAATTCTGCCTCTCTCTCTCTCTCTCTCTCTCTCTCTCTCTCACTCTCTCGCATAGGTCACAATGTATGAGGACAGGTATGCATATTTAGAACCGCACTTAAGAGAGATTGTCACCATGTCAGGCATGCTAGATGACTCATCTGCAAAGGCTTTATTGTTGTAGAGATCATGTTTGACACCATCCATTTCAAGCAACGGTTTATTTAAATGTGCTAAACACTGCTTAGCATCCTGGAAAAAAACGTATTCTCTCATACGTCCCCAATTAAAGTTTTCATTCTATAGCTGGAAGGGCTCATTGAATGACTTTACATGCACAAGCATATTCTGATACCATTCAGAAATTAGTCATATTCTGATTATACAAGGCAATATTCCAGCCAATATTGCTTTCTAAAATTCTAACATCAAGACATCTGGAATGAAGTATGCATGTATTAATTTGAGTTTTGGGTCATTTAAATTGTACCTTACTCTCATTATTTTCCATAACTGAACAATATTTTTAATGTTATTATTATTTTATTTGTATACCAAATTATATTAGAATGATTTCTGAAGGATCATGTGACATTGAAGACTTGCCACATCACAGGAATAATTTAGGCTACATTTAAACAAAAAGTAATTAATTGTCATAATGTTTCACAATATTACTTACTGTATTTTGTTATCATATAAATGCAGTCTTGGTGAGCATGAGAGACTTCTTTCAAATACATAAAAAATGTACTGACTTTTGAATGTATTGTATTCGATATTAGACTAGAGAAAATTCAGTGTAACATGGCGAGAATGAACATGTCTAGTATTTCTAGAAAATAATAGAATTCTATCTAACCAGAATCTGAAACTTAACCTTAAAATGATACTGATGTAAACATGGTCATTATCTCAGACTTATTCTGGATACTATGTTATTTGGGACAATCCATGTGTCATATAAAAGAATTAACCTTAATCTAAATAACCCTCAACCTTTTATATAAAGGGCAGGTGTTATCTATGTTGCTGATTTAATGTGAATACACTTTTGTTGGCAGGGTGCTGGAATTGCTAACAGCAACCAACCCTGGTCTCATAAAACTTGACGAGGCAAAATCAGATCAGCTACTGGGTGTCACCAACAATTTACTACTGTTTATTCGCTCCCAGGTCCCCATTGCCAAGAGGCTGCTGAAGAGCTGTGAGTTATTGTGCAATAACCCATACAATTGTTGATCTTTTGCAGGAATGACTTGCACCAAATGAATGTTACTCTTTTTTTTTTAGCTCACTGACAAACAAATTACAGTAGGCCTACAATAGTTCCATAGCTTATTTTAAACCCATTCAAACCTTAACTCATTTATTTCTGAGTCTAGTTTTAAACCTATCTTCATTTCGCAGATTCCTCAGGAGTGGTCCTGGACCCTTCCACTGCCTATCCCAAGCTGATTATTTCATCTGAAGGGGACTGTGCCACTTTCACAGATGTATGGCAGGATGTCCCTGAGCATGAGGGCCGCTTTGACACCACCCTTAACGTCTTGAGCGTCCAGTGTTGGGACTCTGGCTGCCATTACTGGGAGGTAGATGTGAGTGGAAAGATCTACTGGGAACTTGGTCTTACCTACCAATCCATCCCCAGAAAAGGCCAAAAGGAGGACTGCTGGTTGGGCCGGCATGCTGAATCATGGTGTCTGGAGTACTTTGATGGAGACTACACTGCCTGGCATGGAGGTATTGCTCATTCTTTGCCCATTTCCTCATGCTTTCATCGGATTGGCATCTTCTGCAGCTTTCCTGGAGGTCTGGTGACATTTTTAGGAGTGGATAGCATGACACCGCTGTACTCATTCTGTGCTGGGGCTTTCACAGACTCTCTACACCTTGCTGTTTGTCCAGGACATGATCTTCATGGGACAAACTCAAAACCTATGAAGATCTGTCAATCCTAACCATCTTTAAAAACCCATACCTAGCATTTGGAAGACCAAGTAGGCCTCCCTTGCACAGGTTTGTTTGATTTGGTGCTCAAGAAACATTTCTTATTAATATCAATTTGGAAAACAGTTGTACTGCTTGATATTTTGGTAGAAGCCATGATAGATTATTAGAATCTAGATAGAAGATAGACATCTTTTTGTAACATAAATGTCTTTACTGACACTTTTGATCAATTTAATGCATCCTTTCTGAAAAGTATATAAAAAAAATGTAACTGACCGCAAACTTTTGAATGGTAGTATAGCTAGTTAGTCAAAGCAAGAAACACTTCTTGTTGGTGCTTGCAAGCTATACGGACACTAGAAATGAATATCAGCAAGGACACATTAAATTGGTCAAAAGTTGGAAGATATTTCAATGGCAGCTGTCTGACATTGTTTATTTTAAGTATGTATCCCCATGAAGAGACAAGGTTTTATTAATGCATCAAAAGAATCATCTAAAACTCAACAGTAAAAATGTGTACAAAGCACTACTGGTAGATCAGAGTACATGACAAAAAACCCATTGAGCTTGTGGTTAATCTTTAATGAACATGCTACTGGCTCCCAGCTGTTTTTTCATTGATCCAGTCCAAGTATTTAAGGATTCTGGTATAGACACCAGGCTTGTTCTTCTCTCCACAGCTGTCTCCCCAGCTCACTATACCATAGACATAGTGTATTTGATCCTTCTGACAGGTGAGAGGCCCACCAGAGTCACCCTGTCAGGAAGAGATAATACTGACATCTCAATGAAATGATTACTTTGCAGTAATTTTACTTTTCTTTCCAATTTTTTAAAATGTGATTCTAGTTACAGCAGCACCAGCTCCTTTCAATATTTGTAAACCACATTATACAGTTAAAATGATGACCCACCTGACAGGAGTCCACTCCTCCCTTGAGATAGCCTGCACAAAACATGCCGTCATCCAGCAAAGCCGAATATACTTTATTGCTTGAACAAGCCTCCTGAGAAATCAGCAAAACCTGCGCATCAAGCAAATGCATGGAGCCATACTCTGCTACAGACAGGAAGGGAAAAAGAACACACTTAGTCTTTTCATCGATGAACCTTCAACACAAACTCAAAAATAGACATTATGGAGATGTACACGTCTCTGTGGCTCCCCATCCTGAAATGCTGCATTCTGCTCCATCTGCAAAAGGTTCTCTGGGCAAGCAGGCAGCTTTCACAAACTGAGTTTCCTTAGCACATTCTCCATTAGTAACTTTCAGTTTTAATAGAGCTGCATCACAGGAAAGAATGAAAATTAGAAATACAAGAAAATAAAAACATTATAGACCTTCAAAATAATTTGTGGAGGTTCTCCTGAAATTTTCTATCACCAAATAGCCAGATTAATTGCTTAGAATTGCAACAATATTAATATTAACTCTTTGAGGTCTTTTGTTTTGAAGTTATTATTATTAGTGTCAGGCTTTTATTTTGAAGATCTTGTGTATTTTAATGCCTAAATAAAGACTCCTACAATAAAGGGGTGTTGATGGACTCAATCTACTCCATCTACTGTATGTTTTGATCATCTTTCTGAATGTGATCCAGGAGTAGTCTTTGACAAAAACACAATTTTCTCAGCTTTTTTGTTTAAAATGTTGCTTCTTTTTTCTTCTTCTTTTTTTTTTAATGAAACTTACATTCAAATGATGATAAAAAATAAAAGAATGCATGAAGCTAAAATAAAATGGAATTTTTTGTTTAAAAACAGGGGCTCAGGTCTTTATTTTTATTTATATAATGTTCAGATATTCATACAACAAAACATTCTGGGAGCCATGAAAGTTTTGTGAAAAAGATCAAAAATGCTAGCTGGCCACTTAAAAAAAACAACAACCTAAAAAACACTGACGGGCAAAGAGTTAAGACCCTGTTTATTCGTGCATATAAATGTCTACAATACACACCAATATCATTGTAGACGACATCAGGAGTTTCCCTGTACTTCTCATGGATGATAGCGTCCTCCACCAGCACAGTCTGGTCTGTTGGCTCCTTTTGTACTAGATTTAATCCTCCCAATACAACACTGTAATCATGATTTTTATCACTGTATACACAACAAAAGGAAATACAAATCATGATTACAGTGTTGTATTGGGAGGATTAAATAATCCATGAAATAATGCAGAAAAATTACATTTCAGACTTCTTGTATTGCAAGTGTAAAGATTTCTCCACATTAGAAGTAAAATGTAATATTGAGAGCTCATAAATTCATTGATTTAGGATGACAGTAAGACAATAATTCATAATGATAACTGTTAATTCAAGTCAAGTCAAGTCACCTTTATTTATATAGCGCTTTTTACAATACAGATTGTATCAAAGCGCTTCACAGTGATAACATGAAAACAATATAACAAAGTTTGTTTCTAAAAGAAATTGCGTCAACGTCCACCTTAAGTAAGGCAGATCAATAATATTATTGAATATTAAATGTCCCCAACTAAGCAAGCCAAAAGCCAAGGCAACAGTGGCAAGGAACCAAAACTCCATCAGGTGACAGAATGGAGAAAAAAACCTTGGGAGAAACCAGACTCAGTCGGGGGGCCAGTTCTCCTCTGGCCAACGAAGGAACAGTGCATGATTCGGGCAGCATTACAAGTCAGATTGGATCGGAACATTTTTAAATGCAGTGAAATAAGAACTATAGCAGTTAACAGTTACTATGGATAGAAAAAGCAAGGATGGGGCAAAAATAACATGATGTTACGTTTACACAATGCTGTCCAACTAACACTCACCCAATATGTGATTTGGAGAAAAGCACACATACCACCGAAAAAGCAAACCAGACAGCAGACAAATTACCTTGTTTAAAGTTTGTATTACCTTGTCATTTTGCACACATTCAAAGCAACTTTGTCAGGTGCGCAAAGGTGATTGCTTGCCAGATTCAAAGCTGTTCAGATCTAACCATTAGGCTAGTCTGTTTGATACCTTAATATGTCTTGTCACCATTTTTCTGTGGTCGTTGGGCGCATTTTACTTTAATATTGTACTAAAGACCATACTTACACACAGTGGGCTGCAGTCAGCACCCAACAAGGCTTGATAAGGGTGCCTCCACAGATGTGTCTGTAGCCTTGGACGGTTCCTTTAGGTTTGATCTGCACTGATACTTGCCATGGATGGGCTCCAGGAATAGCTTTAAGACCCCCATAAATCCGGTTTAGTTGTTTTTTGGGCTCCGGTTTACCACAGGTAAGAAAACTCTTTGGTAAAGTAGCATTCTTAGTTGGTGTGGTTGGTGGGGCACCAGTAGTGATTATTTGGGCTGAACTGGTGCTCTCTGGGGTTATGCTGGCATCTGGTAGGTGACATTTTTGGAAAAGATTTGTATCGATTCAGAGTGTGATATTGCTACTATAAAAAAGTGAAGTAAACGCTCCGCCACAAAAATAGTTCCAAACAAAGCCACAGCAGAATCAACATCGTCGAGTCTCTGGACAACACAAAGCAGTGGTGTTTTGTTTCTAAATGAAGGTGCGTTCACGCTAATTACCATTGTTTAGGGAAATTTCATGGCCAATATTTAAATAGAAATCTGCGCGATTGGGAGTTTTGAGTGTAAGGGCGAAGAAGTTCCCCATACAGAGTTCTCTCATGTTCAAATTGGTCATGTGAATACGCCACATTGACAGCAAAATGCTTGGTTTGAAATTGAAGTTTGACTTGACAACAGGCCCAGGGCCCCATTAATTTCCATAGTATGGGGGAAAAAATACTATGGAAGTCAATGGGGCCCATCAACTGTTTGGTGACCAACATTCTTCAAAATATCTTCTTTTGTGTTCAACAGAAGAAAGAAATTCATACAGGTTTGAAACAACTGGAGGGTGAGTAAGGGCCTGCTCACATATCGTCTTTTGCGCGCTCAAGTTCGTTATTTCAAATGTAGGCGCGCGGTATGCGCGCCCATAATGGAAGCGACGCGCTCGTTTTTTCCAAGCGGGTCCGTGCCGCATCGAGATAAAAACATTTCAACTTTTCACAATGCCGCAAGCGCACCATAACAAAGCCCGTCTACGGAAAGCCTTGGCACTTCCTATTAGCCCCGTTGTATCATCTTGGTTGCAGTTACATTAGAATTCCACTGGAGGTGATCGCGGGCGAGTGCAGAATGAATGGGAGTCTATGGGGCTAGACGGCTAAATGTATCTCTTTCTCCTGCTTGTCGTTGAATCAACATAGATTTTATTGTTGATTCCACAAGTTCAATATAGATTATAGACCAAAAGTCGAATAAATGAGTACTTATGTCCTTTCGATTTCTTACAGGTTAGGCCGTTGTTGGCCGGAACACGCTAGCATTCTGCTATTATGTGACGTCATCACATTTTTGAACGGATTTTTAGAACAGATAAGTGAACTTAAAAATGCAGTTTTTAGCTGAGTGTATTATCTTAGTCCCCCCTTTTGAATGCAACTTTCAGATTACTTGACAAAAAATTACATCCTGAGAAAAGTGGATTTCTGGGGGTGAAACCCCAGACTCCCATTCATTCTGCACTCGCCCGCGGTTCAGAACCCGGAAGTAACCAGAGAGTGCCAGTTCTCTCCTATTAGACATTCTCTGACCATAAGCGCACAGTAGGTCACGTGACAAGAACCAACCGGAGCGCAACCGCCCTAGCGCTTTGGAAAAAGGAGAATGCGGCGCGCCCAGCGTTTTCTACGCGTTTTTAGGCGCTATATGTGAATCCGACAGAATTAAAAATTTTGGGTGAACTATCCCTTTAAGGCATTGCTATGCGCTTACTAGGATGTTGCAGATATTATTATTATTATTAATAATAATAAGCTAGATCAGTATTTGGTAAAGCCAAAACTGATCATAATTTAAAAGGCAGATAGTTATTTTGTATGTTGTTAAAGACATGAAGTTGATTCAATGTACAACTCTAATTAAATAATCACAGGGATGTTGCTAATGTGACAGTGTTATGATCAAATCGGTTTAATGAATAATGTTTTTTTTTAATGAATAAAAAATCTGAAAAATCCCTTCCATGAATACAGTGGAAACTGAAAAGACACAATGCTGTTTGACTGTATCAGTACTCTTGGAACGTCACTCAGCCAATCAAATAAAATAAAAAACTTATTTTACATTATATTCTTGATTCAAAGCCTCAATAGAACACAACTAATCACTATGATACTGCTTTGTCATCAGTACATGCTTTGTCACTTAGACATGGCGCGTGGCTAACAATGAGTAAGTCTTACCTGTCTT